ACCAACGGAAGGAAGACCTTTCTCTCTGTCTGTCTCTCACTGTCTAACTCTGTCAAATAAAAAAAAAAAAATAGAAGAAGATCCACGAAAATGGAAAAATCTCCAAGTCATGGATTGGAAGAATATCATCAAAATGTCCATTCTTCTGAAAGCAATTTACAAATTCAATGTGACACCAATCAAAATACCAATACATTCTTCTCAGATTTGGAAAAATTATGCTGAAATTCATATGGAATCATAGGAGAACTCAAATAACTAAAGCAATCTTAAACAACAAAAATAACAATAGAGGCATCACAATACCAAATTTCAAGACATAGTACAAGACAATTATAATCAAAACAGCCTGATATTGGTACAAAAACAGATGGATAGATCAATGGAACAGAACAGAAACACCAGAAATCAATCTAAGCATCTACAACCAACTTATATTTGACCAAGGAGCTAAAACCAATTCCTGGAGCAAGGACAGTCTCTTCAACAAATGGTGCTGGGAAAACTGGATTTCCACATAAAGAAGTATGAAGCAGGACCCCTACCTTACACAAAAGTCCATTCAAAATGAATTAACGACCTAAATCTATGACCTGATTCCATCAAATTATTAGAGAACATTGCAAAAACCCTGTAAGACATTGGCACAGGCAAAGAGTTCTTGGAAAAGACCCCAAAGGCACAGGCAACCAAAGCCAAAATCAATAAATGGGATTACATTAAATTGAGAATCTTCTGTTTTGCAAAAGAAACACTCAGGAAAGTGAAGAGGCAATCAACATAACAGGAGAAATTATTTGCAAACAATGCAACTGATAAAGGATTAATAACCAGAATATAAAAAGACATCAAGAAACTCCACAACAGCAAAACAAACAACCCTGTTAAGAAATGGGCCAAAGATTTAAACACACATTTTTCAAAAGAGGAAATCGAAATGGCCAACAGACACGTAAAAAAATGCTCAGGATCACTAGCTGACAGGGAAATGCAAATCAAAACCATTATGAGGTTTCATCTCACCCCAGTCAGAATGGCTTTCATACAGAAATCAACAAACAACAAATGCTGGCAAGGATGTGGTGAAAAAAGTACCCTAATCCACTGTTGGTGGTAATAGGAACTGGTAAAACCACTATGGAAATCAGTTTGGAGATACCTCAGAATTCTGAATATAGACCTACCACCCCACCCCTGAGAATTTACCCAAGGGAAATGAAATCAGCCATTAAAAGAGTGATCTGCATCCCCGTGTTTATTGCAGCTCGATTCACAATAACTAAGACCTGGAACCAACCCAAATGCCCATCAACTGAAGACTGGATAAAGAAATTATGGGACATGTACTCTGTGGAATACTACTCAGTGGAAAAAAAGAAAGAAAATCCAATCATTTGTAACAAAATGAGTGAAACTGGAACACATTATACTTAGTGAAACAAGCCAGTCCCAAATGGACAAATACCACATGTTCTCCCTGACCTACGATAACTAATAGAGCACCTAAAAGGAAATCTTTATAAATGAAATTGAGACTTTGAGAAGCAATGACTTGAATAGACCTTCTCATGAATGTCAAGGAAGAGAATTTTGGTTTTTTTTTCCCCCTTAATGTAGAATTATATTGGGAATGGGAGAGGGAAGAGGAGGTGGGGTGGGAGGGCAGGAATGACGGGAAGAATCACTATATTCCTAAAGTTGTATTTATGAAATTTATACTCATTAAATAAATGGTTTCTTTGGGAAAAAAATAAAATAGTTACAGAACATGAAATACATGAGAATAAATTTAAACAAGAAGGTGAAATACTTGTACACTGAAAACATTAAAACACCAATAAAAGAAATAAAGAAGGCACAAAGAAAAGTGACAATAACCTATATTCATGGATTGGTTAATTACTTTATTATAATGCCCATTATACCCAGTTTTGAGATTCAATGAAATCTCTATCAAAATTCCAGACATTTTTCACAGAAATAGAAAAAAAATTCTAAAATTCATACAGACCCAAAAAAAAAGACTTCAAATAGAAAAAGTACACTGAGCAAAAAGAAGAAAATCTAATATAACATACTAGCTGCCTTCAAAATATACTAAGTATATCTTAAATATATAAAATATACCAAGTAACAGTAATCAAAACAAGCTAGTAATGACATAAAATCAAACACCTACACCAATAGAACAGGACAGCCCAAAAATAAATCCATAAATTTATAGTCAATTGATTTTTAACAAAAATTCCTAGAACGAATTCCTAGAAAAAGTCTAACAATATGTATAATGAAGTCAAACAAGTCTGTTATAACAACGTGATTAAAAAAATATACAAAGCACCTGTGTCAGTATTTCTTTTTTCTTTTTCTTTTTTTTTTTTTTACAGGCAGAGTGGACAGTGAGAGAGAGAGAGCGAGAGAGAGAGAGAAAGGTCTTCCTTTTGCCGTTGGTTCACCCTCCAATGGCCGCCGCGGCCGGCGCACTGCAGCCAGCGCACCGTGCCTATCCGAAGGCAGGAGCCAGGTGCTTCTCCTGGTCTCCCATGGGGTGCAAGGCCAAGCACTTGGGCCATCCTCCACTGCACTCCCAGGCCACGGCAGAGAGCTGGCCTGGAAGAGGGGCAACCGCGACAGAATCCAGCACCCCGACCGGGACTAGAACCTGGTGTGCCGGCGCCGCTAGGCATAAGATTAGCCTATTGAGCCGCGGCACGAGCCCGTGTCAGTATTTCTTAAAAGACATATTTGTGGCCAAGAGGTAAATGAAAAAATCCTCAATATTATTAATCATCCCGGAATATATAAATTAAAACTATAATGAGATATCATCTTACATCTGACAAATATGTATAGCTTTTTGTCTACTAATCAAATAAGTATATATTGTTTTAACTATCTAGTTTCAGTTACATACAAAGATACTCCTCAATGTTCCTGGGAAAGTAGAATTATAAAGATAAGCTTGTTTTGCAGGAAAAAAAAATTAATTCATGTAGGTTTTCGTAAAGTACATTTTCCATGAACTTTCTGAAAACCCCTCACGTGCATGGATTTTGAACACTTTGCACCAAAATACGTTTATCTTTTAATTCCATTTCCAACATAGTTTCTTAAGTATCCTCATCATTTAGGTAAATATATCTAAATATGCACAGTGATTTTTCTATTGTTATGTACTGTGTACACAGCCTTTTAGTCAAACAAAATTAATTCAATTATTGCACAGATTTTTCAAGAAAAGGTCCTAGAACTAAAGCCACGCTACTCATCTCTGCTATTTTCAGAGCAGTCGTAATACCCAGCAATTTAATACCCAGGATATAAGAACTCTGAGCAAGATCATTTTAGGGACAATGCTGTAACGTACTGGGTTAAGCCACCTCCTACAATGCTAGCATCCCATATGGGCACTGGTTCAAGTACCAGCTATTCCACTTCTGACCCACCTCCCTGCTAATTCAACTGGGAAGGCAGCAGAGGAAGGCTCAAGAGTTTGGATACTTGGAACCCACATGGAAGTCAGAAAGACAGGCATGGAGGCACGGCATTACATAAGTAGCCAAAGTTTCTCTGTTTAACATTTGAACGGAACACTGAATAAAAAGTGTAATCATCAGCTATATGAACAATTAAGGGAAGAGCATTCCAACCAGAAAGAAAAGGAAATGCAAAAGCACTGAGGCAGCTGAGAGCGCCATGTTTGAGAACATCTAGGAGACCAGTGGGCAGAAACAGGAGCAGAGTGCAATGGTAGGAGATGGTGTCAGACAGTTTCAAACTCAAACATAGCCTTGTGTCGTACACTGAGTACTATGAAGCTTAATATGAATGACAGAGCTGGTGCTAGAGAATTTGAGCAGGTGAGTGGCATGTGACTTAAAAGATCACTATGGCAGCTGTCTTGAAAGCAACAGGCAGCATGAGTGGAAGGCCGAGGGCAGATAATGAGGGGTGGCTGTAGCTCAGCATAGGGTAGTAATGATCAACAGGATCACTAGGTTTTTTGGTTGATTGGCTTGTTTAAGATAACTGAACAGGGGCTGGCGTCGTGGCTCACTTGGTTAATCCATGCCTGCAGCGCTGACATCCCATATGGGCACCAGGTTCTAGTCCTGGTTGCCCCTCTTCCAGTCCAGCTCTCTGCTGTGGCCCAGGAGTGCAGTGGAGGATGGCCCAAGTGTTTGGGCTCCTGCACCCGCATGGGAGACCAAGAGAAGCACCTGGCTCCTGGCTTCGGATCAGCAGGGTGTGCCAGCCGCAGCACGCCGGCCACAGCGACCATTGGAGGGTGAACCAACAGAAAAGTAAGACCTTTCTCTCTGTCTCTCTCTCTCACTAATACTCTACCTGTGAAATAAAAAAAAAAATTTTTAAAAAGCCAAAAAGATAACTGAATAATATGCAGAGAACTAAACTTGCTTGCTTTTTTTTTTTCCTTATTTATTGGAAAAGCAAAGTGACAGAGAGAGATAAACACAGATATATACTCCATTCACTGTTTCACTACCCAAATGCCCACAACAGCTGGGGCTGGGCCAAAGCCAGATGCCAGAATTCCATCCAGGTCTTCCACATGAGTGACAGGAACCCAATTTACCTGCTACCCTCCAGGTCTGCATTACCAGGAAGCTGCAGTCAGGAGCCAGAATCAGGTATTAAACCCAGGTATTCCAATAAGGGACATAGGCATCTAAAATGGCATCTTTTTTTCTTTTATTACCCCTGCAACAGCAAGGCTCTCAAAAAATTGAGTAATGACTTAGAATTGTTCCTCTAAAAATATGGAATGCTTCATGAATTTGTGTGCCATCCTTGCGCAGGGGACATGCTAATCTTCTCTAAAATGGCAGCTTAACCACTAGGCTAAACACCCACTCCATGAGAACTATTTCAAAAAGCATGGGATACATAAGGATTATTCATTCCATAACACAATATTAATAATTTCTACAAATACATCACTTCTCAAACAAAAATGCAAACTCCTTAATAACACTTACATGTCTAAGAAATAATTCCAGAATCCAATTTAGAAGCTCTACTGATAGATTTCTTCTCTGTTCCTTCATTAGCTTATTTAAAAAATGTATGATGTCTATTAGCAGTTTCTCATCTTCAGTACTAGCAGGAAGCACTTGTAAAAACCTGTAAGAAAATAATTATGGTACTTAACTCTTTAAAATATACATACTACTGATATTCATAGATATGTATACTCAGGAGATTTCTTGTGAGCATGCTATTTTATGAGACACTACTCTAAGTGTTATGAAAATGCAAAGATATGGGAAATAGGGCTTCTGCATTCAACACCCTGAGCCTATAGTAAAGAAAACATATAGACATGTAACTGAAAAAACTGAGAAGAGACAAGATAATAGAAAAATATCAAATTCAGAAAAAGTGCCAAAGAAATGTAAAAAGAAAAACATTGCTTCTAACTGACCGGGGAAAATTGCTTAGTCACGGTAGTCATGCTTCACTAAGAATCAGGATTTCTTTTTTTTTTAATTTTCAATTCTCTTTATATACAGAAGATCAGTTTAGCATATATTAAGTAAAGATTTCAACAGTTTGCACCCACATAGAAACACAAAGTGAAAAATACTGTTTGAGTACTAGTTATAGCATTAAATCACAATGTACAGCACATTGAGAACAGAGATCCTACATGAGGAGTGAGTGCACAGTGACTCCTGTTGTTGACTTAACAAATTGACACTCTTGTTTATGGCATCAGTAATCACCCTAGGCTCTTGTCATGAGTTGCCAAGGCTATGGAAGCCTTTTGAGTTCACCGACTCTGATCATATTTAGACAAGGTCGTAGTCAGAGTGGAAGAAGAATCAGGATTTCTAACCTAATCTTTCTGACCAATTAGGAAGAGCATGATAATGAGGGGGAAAAAATTATTGCCAAGAAAGCTACCAGAGTTTGTAACAGGCAAGGAAAATGCTGAGGGTAAACTTAGGACTTTAGGAAGGAAATCTTTTAAGTTCAGAGTAAAAGACTATGAACCTATTTTTTTTTTTATTTGAAAAGGAGAGAAAATGGAGAGAATAAAGTGTCTGCTGCTGGTTTACTCCCCAAATGCCTCTGACAGCAGAACTAGGCTGAAACTAAGAGCCAGAAACTCAAACCAGACCCGGCACATGGATAGCAGGAATCCAATTATTTGAGTCATCACTACTTCCTCCAAAGGTCTGTCTTGGTGGGAAGCTGGAGTTGGAAGCCATGCCTGGGAGCTGAAACCAGTCACCCTGAGGTGAGAGGAGGTATCAGAACTGCTATCTGGCTGGCACCGTGGCTCACTAGGCTAATCCTCCGCCTGCGGCACCGGCACACCGGGTTCTAGTCCCGGTCACTCCTCTTCCAGGCCAGCTCTCTGCTGTGGCCCGGGAGTACAGCAGAGGATGGCCCAAGTGCTTGGGCCCTGCACCTGCATGGGAGACCAGGAGAAGCACCTGGCTCCTGGCTTCAGATCAGCACGGTGCACCAGACACAGTAGCCATTGGGGGTTGAACCAACGGAAAAGGAAGACCTTTCTCTCTGTCTCTTTCACTGTCCACTCTGTAAAAAAAAAAAAAAAAAGAGAGAGAGAGAAACTAATGGGCAAGGAAACTTTTTATTTAAAAAAAAAAGTCATTTGGAAAACTGTTTTCTAAAAAAATGCAATCAGGAAGAAATACAATGAGATTCAATTTTATCTACAATGTTACATTTTTAATTCTGAAACATCTAAAACAACTATTTCAAAATGTTAGTAAGAAACCCAGTAATACCATAATATCCAACATTTCTTAAGCATTGACCTTATGCCTGACTGTTTTAATACCTTAAAACTAACTTTTCAATCTTCATTACAACTCTATGAAGTGTGCAGTTCTATTTCACAGGTAATAAAACTCAGAAAAAAAAACAGATAGTTTGTCAGTGGTCACAAAGCCAGAAAATTTGAGTATAACTACTAATCAAAGCTGTCCAACACCAAGGCCAGTTAGAATGGCTCTCATACAGAAATCAACAAACAACAAATTCTGGCAACGATGTGGGGAAAAAGGTACCCTAATCTACTGCTGGTGGAAATGTAAACCAATATAGCCATTGTGGAAGACAATATGGAGATACCTCAGAAATCTGAAAATAGATCCACCCCATAACCCAGCAACTCCACTCCTGGGAATTTACCCAAGGGAAATGAAATCAGCATATGAAAGAGTTATCTGTACACCAATGTTCATTGCAGCTCAATTCACAACAACCAATGTCTACCAACTGATGACTGGATAAAGAAATTATGGCATATAAACACAATGGAATATTACTCAACAGTAAGAAGAAATGAAATCCTGAAACACACTCTTGTCGATAGTGGTAAACAGTCATCCTTAGAGTAGTACTCATTTTACTATCTCTCGCTCTCTCTCTGTGCATATATATATATATAATATATATATGTACACACATATATGTACATATACATATATATATATACACACACACACCCTTTTAAACTTTAGGGTAGTATTGGTTTTTTAATCTTTCTCTAGATGGCTAAATTTGATGTTATTTTTTGATTAAACAATTAAATATGATTTCATAACATAAGACTTGTTTACATCTACTGTTTAAATAACCAAGGAGGACAATTTCAAAAATATCTGAGCAAAATCAGAATTACTATAACACACATACTTCTTCCTAAAAAGTTTCCTTTTGGGGGGACATTCATTTGGATATCTCATATCTTTTTTTTCTTTTTCTTTCTTTCTTTTTTTTTTTTTTTTATAGGCAGAGTGGAAAGTGAGAGAGAGTGACAGAGAGAAAGGTCTTCCTTTGCCGTTGGTTCACCCTCCAATGGCCGCTGCAGCCGGCGCACCGTGCTGATCCGAAGCCAGGAGCCAGGTGCTTCTCCTGGTCTCCCATGCGGGTACAGGAGTCCAAACACTTGGGCCATCCTCCTCTGCACTCCCGGGCCAGAGCAGAGAGCTGGCCTGGAAGAGGGGCAACCAGGACAGAATCCGGTGCCCAGACCGGGACTAGAACCCGGTGTGCCAGCACTGCAGGAAGAGGATTAGCCTATTGAACCGTGGTGCCAGCTTCATATATCTTTTAAACTAGCCTCAAATTATTCACTCTCATGGAAAATGGCCAAAACATAATGCTATTTTTAAAATAACATATACAAGATGTCTCTTCATATTGTTTCATCTAGAATGATAGTTTGAAATACTTACATAATGTAAAATTTTTTAAACTAAGCTTGTAAAAAATAATTTCAAAAATGTTTGTTGTAACTTTTAGGAAATTTTCTGTCTCCAAACATTTCCTTTAAAGAATTAATCTATCTTAATCAGCCAAAAAGGTGATGTTCCTTCAACTGAGTGGCAACGAAACTTCCCAAAGTCCCATACATTCATATATTTATGAAAGTAAAATTATTGTTTGGACTTTTCCTCAAAACATGTGCATTCTGTGATACACAGTTCTGATAATTACTTAGCAAAAGATAATACAGGAGAAATACAGGAGTAGATTTTATTTTAGGCAATACAATCTATGCTGTAATGAACAAACATGAGCCTTGAAGTCAAATAAGACACAAATAGTGGTTCTTCAACATCCTTGGGGGATTGCTTCCAGGACACTCATGGATACCAAGTTCTGTAGATGCCCACATTCCTTACATACTCACATCACCTATACACATCTCTATATATACTTTAAATCTTCTCTGGCTTACTTATAAACTAATACAATGTAAACAGTAAGTAAATAGTTTCTATACTATATATTGTTTAGGAAATCATCACAAGTCTGTACATGGTCAGTTCAGATGCAATTCTCTTTTCTCAACTATTTCCAAACTGCACTTGGTTGAATTCACAGATTCAGAACCCCTGGGTACAGAGGGCTGACTATACATAAAATAATTTCACTCTGCACTCTCCACTTATGTTAGTACTAGAGAAAAATCCCACCATAACAGTTAATGCTGCCCAGTAGCAAACCATGATTTAGTATTTCAATAAAACATATATAGTACAAACAACCTCAAGATCACTGATAAAAGTAAAATAACTAGAAAGTGATGACTTTTATATATTCATTACCCTAATTTTCATATAATTCATTTAATTATAAGTTCATATAATGTTTAAGAAGAGCCATGCTGCTGTGGTGCAGCAGGTGAAGCTGGACTTGGGATGCCAGCACCCCACACATGAGGGCCAGTTCGCTTCTCATCCAGCTCCCTGATAATGCACCCAGGAAAGCAGCAAAGGTTGACCCAAGTACTTGGGTCCCTGCCACCCACGTGGGAGATGCAGATGGAGTTCTTGTCTCCTGGCTTTGGCCTGGGCCAGCCTTGGCAATGGTGAGCATTTGGGGAGTAAACCAGCAGACAGAAATTCTCTCTCTCTCCCTCTCTTTCTGTTTCTCTTGTATACAAACACACTCTGCCTTTCAAATAAACAAACAAATCCTTCCTTAAAAAAAAAATAGAAGGCCTGATTTAACAATCAATTTGAAAAAATCCTGAAAATTCAAGCATCAGCTTTCTCATAAGGCACTACTGACTGCTTCTAACCCACCACTGGAAAATCTAATTACATGTCCCAATTATTAAAGCAAAACTAAATAGAGGAGTTCACATTTTGGAAACTCATTTAACCAAGCATTCTGAAAATGATGACTTTATGTTTAATAAGAAAGTTATACATTTTATACTAAAGTCACATGAAAACCAAAATGAAAAACTGCTAGCAGTATTTGCTTATCAGTCTTGTTTCAAATGCGGCCATCTGCTACCAGTTAAATTGTGCTAAATTTATAAGCTAGAGCCTTCCTGTAACTATTAAAGGACTTCCACATGCCAATCAACTTCATGAAATTCAGAAGAAGAAGAAAAATGAGATAATTATTTAAGCACAAAACAAATGCAAAACAAAACAGCCTGTGGCAGGTGTACTAAACCTATTAATCAACCTGCTGATATCTCAGCTCATTTATAATAAGGACAGGAATAAACATTCAGTTTACTTCATCCACATCTTATCCTAACTACTTTTGTGAAATAAAACAAGATTTTCTCAAACAGGATAATAAATGTTTATAAATTTGTTCATAATTCCTTAAAAAAATGCAGTGACTAAGTTAACATTTTTCTGTTTTGCTACTATTATTTGTGGTAGATAATAAAAATCCTGGTGTTTTTCTTTCCATAAAAAATATTTCCTTCATGACAGCAACAATAAGAATACATACTCTGATCTTTAAAGGTTTGAAGATGAGCCCAGATACAATTCAATACAGGTCTTTGAAACTGGCAGCCTTGAGCTTACACTGACCTGTTTAGTGCAGTGTGCCAAGCCATGGACTTCAAGGTGAGCCCACATGGGCCAGTGCCACCCTTTAAAGACAATCTGTCATTCAGAAGATAAAAGCTCATCCTAGCAACAGCAGCCCTGACATCCCTGTGGGATGCAGCCTGAACGATGGAATGGAGACAGTCCTGCAGCCCGCTGGCCATGTGTGTTATCTTCAGAATAAGGGTGTCCTCTGTGGATAACTTCAATGCATCTAAAAATCTAGACAAAAATAAAAAGAACAGCAGAAAGCTATTTAAATTACAGCTCACACTTATTGCTATTATGAATTCTCTCCCCAAAATTCTGTTTTATATTTTTTTTTATAATTAAAGGTTGACCTTCAGCCAAAAGAAAAGTGGGGTATAATATTAGGTTTTACACAAGCATCTCAAGGATTTACATTGATTTATTTTTCCTTACAGAAACATATTTGTATTCATATAAAAAGACTGACAGATTCAAATATTAAGATATTCAAAAGTAATCATAATAAAATATAGTTCATACATACACCGTTGAGCTTTTACTCTAATCCAGAGGTCTATTCCTAGCAATGTACATCTATTATTTAACCAAACTTCATTATGAGGGTACTTGAAAAAGTTCACAGAAAATGGTATTAAAAGATAAGTTTATCCTAGTGCAAAAAAACTTTTGAAATCCATGCATAGTTTTTTCTTAATATGTATTTTTCACCAAGTTTTTGAAGATCCCTTGTATAATCTCTAAATATTTTTTAAAGTTCCTTATATGATAGATTTTTATAAGTAATGAGCATTACTATGCTTAGAAAAATAAGCCAGTCCCAAAAAGCCAAATATGATGTTCTCTCATTTGTGGTAACATATACAGAGAACAAAACAAATGTAACATATATGAGCTAAATTAACATTTTGAGATTTAATTATTGTTTAAAGCCCTCTGTCTGTACTCTTGAGGAACAGTGGTTTTTCTACTTACTACTTCTTGAATTCTTTATTTCATGGAGGGTTAAGCTTGTGATTTTAAAGAAAATTTAAAGTATGTCATTGCAAAAATTAAAAGAAAAATAAGAAAAGAGGAAGGGAGGTGGGAGGGAGGGAGGGAGGGAAGAAGCATAGGGCGGGAAGTATCACTATGCTCTTAACACTATATATATGAAACACATGAAATGTGTTCCCTTTATAAATTAAAAAATGATAAGCTTCAGTTAAACAGTAGAATCAAATGACATAAAGTGAAAAAGCTACTCAACCTAAAGAAAACCTAATTAATTACAATTAATTAACTAGAAATGGTTTTTCAAGTAAATGCAACAGCTTACTCATGGATTTTTGTTTCAGAGTTCATCTGCTTCAAAAGATTATCACTCCCATGATACCATGACAGGTTCCAAGCTATTCTCAGCATGTCTGTCACAGGTTTCAAGGCCAAACAATCAGCAGACAATGGCAAAACTATTGAGTAAGGACTCACAGCATGATGCCCAACGACATATACTGGTAGATGATACCTGAAGAAAACATTTACAAATAATTACAAACTTCCAAATCCTTAAATACTACTCAAGAGACGACAAGCAAATAAGCACTTGGGTAGCACGCCTCCCATTCCACAATATTAAACCGTTATCACAGCGCACACAGTACCTCACTTTCATTCTACTCTAAACTCCCATAAACATCTCTTCAGACTCCTTCCTGCAGACTCACCACAGTGTATGTCACCTGAAAGTCACTGCAGAGGTAACTAATGCTCCTCGAAGCCAGAGCTCATGACCATAGTGAATCAAATAGAAAAGGTGTTCAATTAAAACACAAATACCAGGGCCAGTGGTATGGCATAGCAGGCCAAGCCTCCCATAAGGGCGCCAGTTCCTGTCCCAGCTGCTCCTCTTCCTATCCAGCTCTCTGCTACAGCCTGGGAAAGCAGTGGAAGATGGCAGAAGTGCTTGGGCCCCTGTACCCCGAAAGGAGACCTAGAAGAAGCTCCTGGCTCCTGGTTTTGGCCCTGCTCTTGCCATCGTGAACATTTGGGGAGTGAACCAGTGAATGGAAAATCTCTCTCTCTCTCCGTATCTCTGCCTTTCAAAAAAAAAAATCTTCAGAAAATAAGAAGGGCCAGCACTGTTGTGTAGCAGGTAAAGCCGCCGCCTGCAGTGCCAGCATCCTATAAGGGCACCAGTTCAAGTCCCGGCTGCTCCACTTCTGATCCAGCCTTCTGCTGTGGTCTGGGAAAGCAGTAGAAGATGGCCCAAGTACTTGGGTCCCTGCACCCGCGTGGGAGACCCGGAAAATGCTCCTGGCTCCTGGCTTTGGATCAGTGCAGCTCTGGCCATTTATCTAAAAGATTTATTAACGGACTTAAAGGGAGACTTAGACCCCAATACAGTAGTACTGGGGGACTTCAATACCCCACTCTCAGAAATAGACAGATCAATAGGACAGAAGATCAACAAGGATACAGTAGATTTAAACGACACTATAGCCCAAATGGATCTAACAGATATATACAGAACTTTCAATCCTACAGCTAAAGATTTTACATTCTTCTCAGCAGTACATGGAACCTTCTCTAGGATTGACCACATACTAGGCCATAAAGCAAGTCTCAGCAAATTCAAAAGAATTAGAATCATACCATGCAGCTTCTCAGACCATAAAGGAATGAAGTTGGAAATTAGCAACTCAGGAATCCCTAGAGCATACGCAAACACATGGAGATTGAACAACATGCTCCTGAATGAACAATGGGTCGTAGAAGAAATCAAAAGAGAAATCAAAAACTTTCTGGAAGTAAATGAGGATAACAGCACAACATACCAAAACTTATGGGACGCAGCAAAAGCAGTGTTAAGAGGAAAGTTTATATCAATAGGTGCCTACATCAAGAAATTGGAAAGACACCAAATAGTTGAGCTTTCAATTCACCTCAAGGATCTAGAAAACCTACAGCAAACCAGACCCAAATCTAGTAGGAGAAGAGAAATAATTAAAATCAGAGAAGAAATCAACAGGATTGAATCAAGAAAAATATTACAAAAAATCAGCCAAACGAGGAGCTGGTTTTTTGAAAAAATAAACAAAATTGACACCCCATTGGCCCAACTAACTAAAAAAAGAAGAGAAAAGACCCAAATCAATAAAATCAGAGATGAAAAAGGAAATGTAACAACAGACACCACAGAAATAAAAAGAATCATCAGAAATTACTACAAGGACCTGTATGCCAGCAAACAGGGAAACCTATCAGAAATGGATAGATTCCTGGACACATGCAACCTACCTAAATTGAACCAGCAAGACATCAAAAACCTAAACAGACCCATAACTGAGACCGAAATTGAAACAGTAATAAAGGCCCTCCCAACAAAGAAAAGCCCAGGACCAGATGGATTCACTGCTGAATTCTACCAGATGTTTAAAGAAGAACTAACTCCAATTCTTCTCAAACTATTCAGAACAATCGAAGAAGAGGGAGTCCTCCCAAATTCTTTCTATGAAGCCAGCATCACCTTAATTCCTAAGCCAGAGAAAGATGCAGCACTGAAAGAGAATTACAGACCAATATCCCTGATGAACATAGATGCAAAAATCCTCAATAAAATTCTCGCCAATAGAATGCAACAACACATCAGAAAGATCATCCACCCAGACCAAGTGGGATTTATCCCTGGTATGCAGGGATGGTTTAATGTGCGCAAGACAATCAATGTGATACACCACATTAACAGACTGCAGAAGAAAAACCATATGATTCTCTCAATAGATGCCGAGAAAGCATTTGATAAAATACAACACCCGTTCATGATGAAAACTCTAAGCAAACTGGGTTTGGAAGGAACATTCCTCAATACAATCAAAGCAATCTATGAAAAACCCACAGCCAACATCCTATTGAATGGGGAAAAGTTGGAAGCATTTCCACTGAGATCTGGGACCAGACAGGGATGTCCACTCTCACCACTGCTATTCAATATAGTTCTGGAGGTTCTAGCCAGAGCTATTAGGCAAGAAAAAGAAATTAAAGGGATACAAATTGGGAAGGAAGAACTCAAACTATCCCTCTTTGCAGATGACATGATTCTTTATTTAGGTGACCCAAAGAACTCTACTAAGAGACTATTGGAACTCATAGAAGAGTTTGGCAAAGTAGCAGGGTATAAAATCAATGCACAAAAATCAACAGCCTTTGTATACACAGACAATGCCATGGCTGAGGAAGAACTTCTAAGATCAATCCCATTCACAATAGCTACAAAAACAATCAAATACCTTGGAATAAACTTAACCAAGGACGTTCAAGATCTCTACGATGAAAATTACAAAACCTTAAAGAAAGAAATAGAAGAAGATACCAAGAAATGGAAAAATCTTCCATGCTCATGGATTGGAAGAATCAATATCATCAAAATGTCCATTCTCCCAAAAGCAATTTACAGATTCAATGCAATACCAATCAAGATACCGAAGACCTTCTTCTCAGATCTGGAAAAAATGGTGCTGAAATTTATATGGAGGCACAAGAGACCTCGAATAGCTAAAGCAATCTTGTACAACAAAAACAAAGCCGGAGGCATCACAATACCAGATTTCAGGACATACTACAGGGCAGTTGTAATCAAAACAGCATGGTACTGGTACAGAAACAGATGGATAGACCAATGGAACAGAATTGAAACACCAGAAATCAACCCAAACATCTACAGCCAACTTATATTTGATCAAGGATCTAAAACTAATTCCTGGAGCAAGGACAGTCTATTCAATAAATGGTGCTGGGAAAATTGGATTTCCACGTGCAGAAGCATGAAGCAAGACCCCTACCTTACGCCTTACACAAAAATCCACTCAACATGGATTAAAGACCTAAATCTATGACCTGACACCATCAAGTTACTAGAGAACATTGGAGAAACCCTTCAAGATATTGGCACAGGCAAAGAATTTCTGGAAAAGACCCAGGAGGCACAGGCAGTCAAAGCCAAAATCAACTATTGGGATTGCCTCAAATTGAGAAGTTTCTGTACTGCAAAAGAAACAGTCAGGAGAGTGAAGAGACAACCGACAGAATGGGAAAAAATATTTGCAAACTATGCAACAGATAAAGGGTTAATAACCAGAATCTACAAAGAGATCAAGAAACTCCACAAAAACAAAACCAACAACCCACTTAAGAGATGGGCCAAGGACCTCAATAGACATTTTTCAAAAGAGGAAATCCAAATGGCCAGCAGGCACATGAAAAAATGTTCAAGGTCATTAGCAATCAGGGAAATGCAAATCAAAACCACAATGAGGTTTCACCTCACCCCGGTTAGAATGGCTCACATGCAGAAATCTAACAACAACAGATGCTGGCGAGGATGTGGGGAAAAAGGGACACTAACCCACTGTTGGTGGGAATGCAAACTGGTCAAGCCACTATGGAAGTCAGTCTGGAGATTCCTCAGAATCCTGAAAATAACCCTACCATTCGACCCAGCCATCCCACTCCTTGGAATTTACCCAGAGGAATTTAAATTGGCAAACAAAAAAGAGGTCTGCACCCTAATGTTTATTGCAGCTCAATTCACAATAGCTAAGACCTGGAACCAACCTATATGCCCATCAACGGTAGACTGGATAAAGAAATTATGGGATATGTACTCTTTAGACTACTATACCACAGTAAGAAACAATGAAAGCCAGTCATTTGCAACAAAATGGAGGAATCTGGAACACATCATGCTGAGTGAAATAAGCCAGTCCCAAAGGGACAAATACCATATGTTCTCCCTGATCGGTGATGACTGACTGAACACCAAGAGGGAAACCTGTTGGAGTGAGGTGGACACTATGGGAAACGGTGGCTTGATCAGCATAGCCCTGACTGTTAATGAACAACTTAATACATTATCCCTCTTAGTAGTTTTTTTTTATCTGTTCTACTTAATATGACTGGTTTAGTTCTGTAATTGATGCACAGTTATTCTTAAGTGTTGAAAATTAACTGAAATGTGATCCCTGTTGAACATGGGAGTGGGAATGGGAGAGGGAAGAGATGTATAATTTGGGACATGCTCAGGCTGACTGGCCCCAAGTGGTGGAGTTGGAAGCATACCAGGGGATTCCAATTCAATCCCATCGAGGTGGCATGTACCAATGCCATCTCACTGTTCCAGGTGATCAATTTCAGTTCACAGTTGGTCATGGTGGAGGGACTAGGAGTCAAAGGGAGCACATAGACAAGTCTAGTACCTGCTAACGCTAACCGATGGAGTAAATAAAGGGGAGAGTGATCCAACATGGGAAGTGAGATACTCAGCAGACTCATAGAATGGCAGATGTCCTAAATAGCACTCTGGCCTCAGAATCAGCCCTAAAGGCATTCAGATCTGGCTGAAAAGCCCATGAGAGTATTTCAGGCATGGAAAGCCAAGACACTCTGGCAAAAGATCTCTGCGAGTGAGATCCCAGTGGAAAGAACAGGTCATCAAAGAAGGAAGTACCTTTCTCTGAAGGGAGGAGAGAA